CCAGTCTGGAGTGGCATCTTCTGTATGTCCATAGTTGTAGGGCTTTAGTTCAGCTAGACTTCAGGTGATTATCAACCATGGCTGTTCTGCAGTTTAGTTGTCAATGTTGATGTGGTCATGAGAGGATGCGAGCACAGCATTTACCTACCCCGCCATCTTGACCGGAAACCCCTCATCTCACTTAATCTTCACTAAAACTATATTATATGAGGTAAATGTCATCATCCTACATTACATGTGGTAACTGAGGCACAAAGAGATTAAGGAACAGGACACACATAAAGGTAGTAAGTGACAGAGGTAAGACTGATCTCCATTTTTTTAAACATACAGGCTTTAATAACTTTTGAGACATACCACTTAATGTTTACAAAATTACTGTCTCTTTAACATACAGTCATGCCTTTTATCTCTTTTATAATTAAAAAAATACTATTTCTTATCCTTTTGATCCCCAGTTCTCTCAAAATGGAGGCTTGAATATAGTATTTTTTACATATTTAACTTGAAAGACATAATTCTCTGGCTGCTTGTTCTTCATGATATGTCTACTTATTTCTGAGCTCAGCTGATCACATGTAGATTACAGAAATGTTCTTTTGGGTTTTATTATTCTTCTGAATAATTACACTCTAAAATATTTTTCCTTGGGGAATGTATACAATGTTGCATGCCAGATAAATATGCTATACTGTTGTTACTTATTAGCTATATGGGATCACAGGAGATATTTTTAAAGGGGCGGGGTTTGCAATTTTGCTAAATTGATCTGAAGCAGACACTTTACAGAAAGAGTACATTTGTTTTTCAAGTTGTTCATAATTTTCAAGTGTTTTCCTTTACCCAAGGGGCTCTTTACTTGAGTACCTTTGTTAAAGGTAAGATCTTCTGGTTCCAATGGTGTGTATCTCTAGTAACATGTGCATGAAATACTTCTACACTCTATATAATATTTATCTCACAATGGCAGTCAAATATTCTATATCATCTCTCTTTCAGTGGAAAAGAAGATTACAATGTTCTTTTAGTGGAAAGTGGAATACACTGTTCTAATTGGACACATTTAAAGTTCTCTAAATTACTTTCTTACTGTACCTATTCTCACATCTCCCATGGGTTCACATTTTCGGCAGCTCTACCACGCTTCCTCCCAGGCTTCTCAGAACGTCTGCAATTAACTTCCAGCTAGTGAACAACAGCATCTTTTGTGAGACACTGAGAAACTCACTGATACTGAGCTGCATCTTGACACTCAACACTGTTCTTATTCTTTCTTTTCACCTTAATTAAGACTACATGCTTCCAGTGGAAGGCTCTCTTTTTGAAACATATTTATAAGGACTAACAAAGTTATACTCTAAGTTTAAAATAATATTACAACAAATAATAAGTGTTTGCAACATATGGGCCACAAATCAAGAGCCTTATGGTGAAGTTTGCTATTTGATTGATCTGTAGAGATACAGTAACAACACAAAGATAAATCCTACTTCTAAAGAGTGTCTTTCATGTTCAGATCGCTCAGCTAAGCATTTGCATAACAACATAGTTGAATGTTTATCCTATGTTTTCAATGGTATCTGAAGAGGTAATTAACCAAATCTTGGCAAATAAAAATATATACTATAGACACAATCAAAATAGGTCAACATAGTTCCTTTACTTTTATTTTTTTCTTATAGGTATATTTTTAGAAAAATAGCTAACAGTTGATAAATACTCAGCAGGGGTGTGGTGTGGTGTGGTATGGTGTGGTATGGTGTGGGAGCAAGACTATATTCTTGGCACAAAACTGGATAGACTCCATCTTAACTGCTTGCTCTTTTCACCATCAACACCAGAGATTCTCAAAGTGTGATCTGGGGACTCATGGGGGCCTCTGAGATCATTTCAGATCTGCAAGGTCAAAACTATCTTCATACTTATACTGACACCTTTTTGCCTTTTTCTCTTTCATTCTTTTATGAGGGTATTGAGGATATAGTATTTTTTAGAAGTTACATGATGGACGATATTGCCTGAGATTGAATGTAGAAGCAGGTATGAGAATGAAATTATCTTTTATCAAGCCAAACTTTGAAGAGATTTATAACACTGTTTTTTCATTTTTTTGGTTTTGGAAGATATAGCTACTTTTCATAAAAAATGTTATTTAACATTATAGGCTTACTATTGTCATTTTAGTTGAAGTAATAAGTGACTTTATTTATTATGCCTCTCTTTTAATTCTAATATGATAAATGTCAAATAACCCAAATAAACAAAAGGTATTTGGGTTCCTCAATAATTTTTAAGAGTTGGGCATGAGCTCTGAGATGAGATACTTTCAGAACCTCTGATTTATACTTTACCCTGGGAATCACATTCAAACTCATATGTTATGGGTTGAGTTGTGTCATTAATTAAGGTGAGGTCATAGTGGAGTAGGTTGGGTCCCTTCTGTAATATGACTGGTATCCTTATGAGAAGAACACCATGTGAAGAGACAGAAAAGCACGCAGGGAGAATGCCACGGGAAGACTGAAGTCCAGCAGTCACAAGCCATGGTACTACCAGAAACCAGGAGAGAGGCGTGGAACAGGTCCTTCCCTAGCATCTTCAGAAAGAGCATGGCCCTGCTAACACCATGATTTCAGATTTCTGTCTTCCTGAACTGTGAGACAGTAAGTTTCTGTTGTTTTCACCCAGCCAATTTGTAGTACTTTGTTACTAAAACCCTAGCAAACTAATCTACCCTAACTAATCACCAAAAACTGATGATTGCCAAGTCTGTCGGTCTAGTTCAAACCTCTTTTCTGAGTTTCATACACATACATACAATGGCTTGCTAGGCAATCCCGCCTTCACAAGGTATCTAAAAATGAAACATGTTGAAAATGACACTAAGAATTGTAACCCACCTGATGAAATCTGTTCTAGTCCTGATGTTTTTTCTTTATAAAGGGTACCACCTTCTTAAATGCCTCATGTTCTCGATTCCCACATCTAATTCATCATCACCTTTTAATATCCCTCTGGAGATGGTTAATTTTATGTGTCAACTTGGCTGGGCCATGGCGTCCAAACATTTGTTTAAACATTATTCTAGATGTTTCTGTGAGGCTGTTTTTGGATGAGATTAACATTGAAACCAGCGGATTCTGATTGAAGCGGATTGCATCCATAATGTGGGTGGGCCTCGTCCAATCAGTTGAAGGCCTGAATAGATCAAAAGACTGACCTCCCCTGAGCAAGAGGGAATTCAGCCAGCAGACTGTCTTTAAACTTGAACCGCAACACTGGGTCTTTGCTGGGTCTCCAACCTGCCATCCTACCCTGCAGGTTTTGGACGTGCCAGCTTCCATTATTACGTGAGCTTCAAATCTGTCTCTACACGTACGCATCCTACAGAACACTAAAACACTTCTCATTTGTGACTTCTCTAACCTTTCGCACAGTTCCTAGGACATACTAAGTGCTATATGGTTTTTTTTCCTTACTATTATCATTTGACAATGCATTTTTAAGTGTGAAGATTCCATAGCCAGACTACTTGGATTCAAATGATGGTGCTAATACTTCCTATTTGTGTGACCTTGGACAAGTTCCTTAATTTCTGTGAGCCTCAGTTTCCTCATCTGTGAAATGAGATAATAATAAACCTACCTCATAGAGATGTCATGAGGATTAATTGACTTAAAACATGTGCAAGTCTTAGAACAGTGCATGGAACATGGTGAACATTATACAATGCTTGCAATTTTTGCTATCATTATATATAGAAAGAGGTGTTCCATATGAATCATATTTTCTTGTATCTTGTTCAGATTTTGTTTTGTTTTTAAATTCTCTAGTCCTCAGTGGCAAAGGCTACGCTTTTTCATTCTTAAATTTTCAGAGTGCTGGGCCAGCCGAGTGGCGTGATGGTTAAGAACTGGCTTGGGATGCCAGAGGGCCCCGGTTCAGATCCCACATATGAGGGCCAGTGACACTGCCCTCTACAGCTAAGATGCTGAACAACAGCTCAACCTGGAGCTGGGCTGCCATGAGTCGCCGGCGACGGCATAGGCTGCAGTCCCTGTTGCAGTGGGTTGCCATGGGCCACTGTGTGTAGCCAGCAGCCAGCATGAGAGGCTAGCACCCGCAGTGAGCGGCCATCCAGAAGCCGGCGACTGATGTGCCTCGCCCAGGAAGAGCGCAATGATGGTGCCAACTTGGGTCAGTGAAGCAACGTCCTCCACAACCAGACTGAAGAACAAAACGACAGCAACTTGTCTGTTCCCCTTCCCCCAATTCCCCAGCACTGTTCCCATCCCCCCAGTTCCCCAATAAAAAATCTTTAAAAAAAAAATTTTTTTTCAGAGTGCTGCTACCTGGTATCAATCACTGTTTCAATTTACCCTCTCTTCTTTAAAACGAAAATAAAACAAAAAACCCTAAAAAGCCCACCTTTAATATACACTCATTCCTGCTAACAAAGAAAACCACGATAGTTTATACTATGTGGACATACCAGCATTTTGTTTTTAGGCTCACAACTGAACAACATGCCTCTCCCTATTTTTTTCATTTTATAATAGTGCTTTCAATAACCATTATGACGTGAAATGTTCAAGTCCTCACGGAAGAGTTAATTGTTGCTGCTCTGTCAACAGTGTCACCAAAATGAAATAAGAGCTATAAGGCTCGTCGCCCCATAGTAGTTTTTCTCTTTTCATCTCTCCCTTTTATTCCCTCACCACTGCCTCATCTAGAACGTAATATAATTTGGTAAAACAATAAAGAGAGAAAAACTTTTTCAACAAACATGTTACCTTGCATTGGTTACCAAAAATCCTGAGTGCTCAGTGTAGGGTGACAGGAAATACAGATAAAATCATGAGAGAAATTTGGTACAAGTAACTAATAATATTGTGAATTTTCTACCAAGAACACAATTATTTACTGTATAGTCCAAAATTAAGAAAGCACAATTATTTTGCACTTTATAGATCTTTTAAAAAATTGGAAGTACTTCATACCTTTGTTCATATCAATGAGTTGTTTCTTTTTCTTCTGACGTTCTAACTTTTCTTGTTCAGCTTTCTCTTTTGCAAGCTTTGCCCTCCTGGTCTTCTCTTCCATTTCTCGTCTCTTGTTGTTTTCTTTCACTGCTTCCTGTATATATAAACAAAGTGAAACGAAAATCCCTCCATTACTTATATATTATAGAAGTTGTACAATTTTTAAATTATATATACACACGTGTGTGTGCTCTCAGAGATGGAAAAGTATTACAGTAGCTTCAAGGTGCATGCATACGCTTTTGAAAGAAACCAAAATCCTAAGACACTGGAAAAAGTTGAGAAATAACTCAGGCTTTAACATTACCTGGGGTGCCGGAAAATTTGGGACATAAATATTTATAGATTTAACAACAAATATACTTTCTCCATTGTCGAAATATAAAATTTTTGATATAAAAGAAAAGGTTTAATATGGAGCTACTTCATTATTGTACTTTTCTCTCTTATCTGAAAAATGGGGGAAAAAATCCTCATAAGATTTTTGTGAGGAAACACGAAATACACTTATAAAGTGCTTAGAGCACTTAGTCTATGAAGATGATGGTGGTGGCTGTGGTGATAACGATTACATCTAATGGTGCAAGGCATGGAATAATCAGCCATATTCTCACAGGAAAGAAATACCTGCAGGTTAATAGCTTTTTACATGCCAAGAGCTCTAGAAATGCTGAAACATATCTCAAGCTATTATCTGTTTTATTTTAGATAGATTATTTGTGGAACGCAAGTGAATAAGTACATTCCAGTAGATGGTATGGAATAAAGCTAAAGTACACTGATCAGCTGGAATAATAATATTAACTTCCTTCAGTTCAGAGAATTCACTAATACAGAGACGCATCAACTGTAAGTTTCTTCCGTCAAGCTGTTCTGTTTCTTTCTTCCTGTTATGATTGATTAGATATACTTCATAGCATGTACCAACTATTTCACAAAAACTATTTTGTTCCAGAAACCCCAAAGAAAAGGACTCCATAACAAGAACACATCTCCAAGACTTTGCCTGGAGGTGTGCATACTGAAATCTTTTTTCTTCATATTAGCAGACAAAATAGTTATAAAAAGCCCAGAAAACACTTTCAAAAAAATAATTTCCCGACTTCCAAGAATTATTGGTACCTCCCCCTACTGACTCCACCAAGCTAGCATTAGGTTCAAAGTACAAAATGATCTGGCTCCTGCAGACAAACTCAAAGCCTACCACTTAAAATAAACTGGAATAATAGAAATATAATCTTACAGCAGCGTTCCTCAACCTCAGCACTACTGTCATTTTGGACTGGATAATTCTCTGTTGTAGGAGCGGTCCTGTGCATTGTAACATGTTCAGCAGCACCCCTGATCTCTACTCACTAGATGCCAGGAGCACCCACCCCCATTTGTGACAACCCAAAGTGTCTTCACAGATGACCAAATGTAGCCCAGGCTGAGAGCTACTAACCTAGGAGGTTTCGTAAAGATAATTTATTCACAAAAAATTCCAAAGTGCCTGCTCTGCTGAATCCAGCTTCTTTTCACAGATGTGGAAACTGAGTTCCAAATGAGTTGAACTACTTGCCTAAGGTCACACATTTTTGTAACCGCAAAGTTGGGAACAGAGCTCATGTCTCTTTACTCTTGGTTTAGTGTTTGTTTTATTCTTCAAGGAAGAAAAGAGGATATGCTGTGATGCCAAAAGCACAAGCAACCAAAGAAAAAATAATAAACAAGACTTCATCAAAACGAAAAACTTTTATCCATCAAAAGACAGTCAAGAAAGTGAAGAGGTAATGCACAGAATGGGAGAAAATCTTTATAAATCCTTTAACTGTCAAGAATATATAAAAACTCTTATAACTCAACAATAAAAAGACAAATAGCTCAATTAAAAATGTGGAAAGGATTTGAGTAGATATTTCTGCAAAGAAGATAAACATATAGCCAATAAGTACATCAAAAGATGTTTGACATCATTAATCACTAGGGAACTGCAAATCAAAACCACAATGAGGTACCACTTCACACCCACTAGAATGGCAATAATAATAACAATAATAATAATAACAACAACAACCTAGATAATAACAAGTGAGGATGTGGAGATACTGGAACCCTTTGCATTACTGGTGTGAATATAAGATGGTGAGTCATTTTGGAAAACAGCTGCTTAAAAAGTTAAACCATGAGTTACAATATGACCCAACAATTTCATTCCTACATATAGACGAGAGAAAAGAAAACACATGTTCATACAAAAACTTGTACAAGAGTGTTCATAGCAGCATTATTCCTAATAGCCAGTAAGTGGAAACAATCCAAGTGTCCCTCAAATGATAAATGGATAAACAAAATGTGGTATATATCCATACAGTGGAATATTATTCAACCATGAAAAGAATAAAGTACTGAAATATGCTGCAACATGGAGAAACCTTAAAATACTATGATAAGTGAAAGAAGTCCGACGCAAAAGGCCACATACGGTACGATTCCATTTCCATGTAATGTCTGGAATGGGCAAATCCATAGAGACAGTAGACAGAAGTAGATTAGTGGTTGCCAGGATGGGGGACAGGGGAGTGGTGAGTAACTGCTAATGATTATAGGGTTCTTTTGGGGATGATGAAAATATTCTGGAATTAGATAGTGGTGATGGTTGCAGAACCTTGTGAATATATTAAAAATACACTAAATCGTGTACTTGAAAATGGTGCATTTTTTTATGTCAACTACATACCAATAAAATTAATAAAAATTAAAAAAAACCCAGATGCTTGAGAAAGGCAAGATTTAAATAAAATTGTGAGTTAGAAAAAAATATAATGTGAAAAGGCAATGTATTTTCAGGCTCTGATACTAACAAGTTGTATGATCTTTGGTAACATAAGAGGCAAGTAATAGAGGAGAGAAGGGAGGTTAATGTTTGTATCTATTTTATTACTGGTCAAATCTCTGATCTGGTAAATAGTCACCGACATCTGGGTGGACTCTTCTAACATCAATCTAACAGGCTGTTTAGCTGCTGGGCGCTGTCATTTATTATGAAGATGGAAAACAACTGGTAACCTGCATTTGTATTTCTTCCTTGTTCTGATAACAGCTATTCTTTGATGGAAATCTATTATGTGCCAGGTGTTTTAGGTATAAATGATTTCTAACATTTACAGAAACTCTGCAAAGTATCTATTATTTGTTCTCATTTTACAGATGATGAAACTTAGGTTCAGGTAGGTTAAGTGAGATGCCCAAGGCTACTCAGCTACTTTAGTACCAGAACCAGTATGTTCACTTACACTACTACCATGATGCTTTCCAAGTACAACTTGCCAGACAAAATACAGGACACTCAGTGAAATTTGAATTTCAGATAAACTATGAATTATTTTTAGTATAAGTATATCCCATATAATACTTGAGCTATACTTACACGAATAAAACCCATGCAATATTTGGGACACATTGATATGGAAATTATTCATTACCCATACAATACTTAGGGTATACAGGATATACTAATACTCAAAAAGTCTTGTAATATTTGGGACACTTTGATACTAAAAAAATATTCATGGTTTATCTGAAATTCGAATTTAACTGGGTATCTATTTTTATTTGATAAATCTAGCAATCCTATTCCCAAGACTGTTGTTTTTTTATAGGCATCCTTTCACAGACTAAGACCATCTAATGCAGACAGTAGAATGATTACAAAAACACAAAAAAGTCCAAATCTAAACTATATTTTGAGAACAGAAGCGTCAATATAGATTACTGATAGGAATTATGTGGTTCATGGGCTGGAATCATACTATTTCTATAGCATTCTCCATATATTTTTTTCCTTTTCATTTCTTGAAAATAAAGCAAAACTAAAAATATGTTTATATAAAAATCTAAACTGATACAATTTGGGGTAGAAGAAAATAAGAAAAAAATATTCATTCTTTAATGAATATTAAAGAATCACTAATGAAGAAATGTGAACAGGTTAAATTTCTTTTTTTTGCAGGGATGCATCATATTTTATTTAGCTGTTCTCACTATAATAAACGTTATGTGGCAGGTTAAATGTCTGTATGAAAGGGAGACTTGAAACTGGCACTACAAAATTAACATGAACTCATAGTAAATCATGAAATGGACCAAGTACTAGGTCCATCGGATAACATCTTAAATGTTTCAGGAATAGATTTAACTACAAAACCATCGCACAACCGTCATGCTTTGAAATGGCATGTGCAATCCTAAAGAGACCAAATAGAAGAAGAATATAATGTCTATGGGTTGACATTAATGAAAATGAATGAAAGCATTTTTCAAGCCACACAGACTGCGCAGTATGATTCTGGTCCTGCTGTCACCAGTTCTGTCTTCACAAAGAGGTCTCATGCTGAAAACAAGCCCCTGTTCCTCTTGGTGCTTTCACTCTTTGGCTCTGGCTTTAGGAAATTAGGGGTTAGAAACACGTGCCTGTTGAATTCTCTCTCCTTAAGAAAAAAATGAAAAAGAGAAAGGGAAATCTTAACTATGGTTTCAATCAATAATCTTGAGTTTTACCAGACTGAAAGATGAGACGTTTCAAGACTTGGTTTAACTCTCCTAAAAATATGAAACCTGACGTGGAGAGAACTCTTTTGGAGGATGAGCTATTTTCTTTTCATCCTAATTCCTATAAAACAAAACCCAAATAATTAAAAGAATAAAAGCAATAGGAGCAAATTTAAGTTCAGGGTTTAAAAAAAAATTCCTTAAATAAGTGACTGTGATTTACAGCAATTTATATTTGCTGAGCCTCACCAAACATTTTAAAACACTAACTCATGAGTCCTTAAACATCCTCCTCAAATAAGCTTCAGTCATTATTTCTTAGGGCTGGGAATGCCAACTGATTATATTCTGTCAATGTACAGGACTGTGTTCTGTTAAAAGAATGCTAATTGAAGAGAGTGTTGTGGTAGTAACCTCAAACAAGATAAAGAAATGTTACAGAAAAAAAAGTCTCAGTTTTACTGGCATATCAGTTTTTCAAAAAGCAGTAAAGAGTACAAAAGGAGCAAAATACAACAGATAATGTGTCTAGGATTTACTGCAAAATATATTCTCCAATTTTAA